GCCCCTTGCCCCTAATGGTTAGGGTATAGGGTTGGGGCCGCCAGTGGGGGTCTGGCTAACACAAAGACTGAGACCTGCCAGTAGCTGTGCCTCCCTTTCTCATCGTCCCCCACCCTTCATCGAGTAGCAGCAGAGGCTATGGCCAACACTCTCCTACACACCACACACAACCCACTCGCGCTCACACTCACACCCGTGTTGGTCATAGACCCCGCTAATATTCTGCTTCTTTTTCTTCTTTTTTTTGTTAAACAAAAAAAGGGGGGGCTTTTTTTTTTTTTTTTGTAGTACGCATTTATCTCATCCTCTCACTAGTCTATTTATAGTACGGGGGAACACCAACCAACCCGGATCTCTCCCCAGCCCACCGGGTAGGTTTGCACCACAGCTGCGGTGCGAGAGCAAGGCTGTACCAGTCCCTCATCATGGTGACGAGGGGTGGGCAGGCATTGCCGATGGGGCAAATCGGCGGTGCTAGCGCCGAGCAATGGCCAGTCACTGCGCCTCCCCCTATCCCCTCCCCAACCCCACATGGCGGTGTCTAATGGCCAATATTGTCACTGCATAGCAGCCAACAACATCAACCAAGGTCCTGCCAACGCTGGCTTGGGGGGCCAACGGGTTATCTCTAGCTGGTAGCACACCAAGCTTGCCCAGGCACGTACGTGAGGCCAATGTTTCATTATTATGTAACAATTGAGGCTCGTCAGTTATTCTTTTTTTTCTTTTCCTCTCTATTTATGCGTGTCATCCTTGCGCAGGGGCCATGCTAATCCCCCTTTCTCTGTATCGTTCCAATTTTTACGGATTTTAACGGATGTCCCGCCTGTGGCTGGCATAGAGACACATACCGTTGTGATTTGCGAAGTAGCCGTCCGTGTCTAGCACGCAAACCAACAATGAACTGGGAAAAAATAAAATAAAACAAAATGAACGTAACCGCCTTCGGCGTGGAGTCCACTCGTGCTTTCCGACATCGGGGGCCAAGTGGCAAGTCCCACTTGATCAGATTCTTCATTTCTGGCCGTCGATCTTCTGAATGGACGGTTAAAAAAGTCGAGAAATTCGGTTAAGTGGGACTTGGCCCCGGGAATCAGCATGTCAGGGGCTCGAACTCGACAAAGGAATTCGTAAACTTACCTTCACTGGTAGCCCATAAAAGCTCAAGCACAACCAGCAGAAACGACAAGGGAAAAATTATAATGTAAGAAAAAAAAAAAAAAATTATAATGGGCGAACAGGGAGGCGCTCTACCCATCGCGGGCTAAGTCCCACTTGCACGAATTAAGAGATACTGACCGTAGATAGCAAAGATCAACGGCCGAAATCTCCTAATTTGTGCAAGTGGGACCTTGCCCGGGCTTAGGGTATCGCCGGAAGGCTGAAGCTGCTAGAGCCAGGGCTAAAGGGCTTTTGCCTAAGGCTATGGCCGCCATAACTGACCAGTCGGAGGCACCGCGCGGCAGTCCCTTCCATTCATATTCAATTTGGGCGCTAGGTCTGTTGAGCATGGCTACTTGCCGTGTTGGTGGTGGAAAGCTGCCAGCACCAGGGCTACCGTCTTCCCCCGAACATAACGCACCCTAAAAATGAACGTATACAAGCTATATTTCCGGTCGGATACAGCCAAAATAAGGGTGCGTTGTGTTCGGGGAAGACGGCAGGGCGTTTGCCCAAGGCTATGGCGGCCATACCTGACCTGTCCGAGGCAGCCCTCGGCAGTCCCTTTTTATTCATATAAAATTTGGACGCTAGGTCTGTTGGGCATGGCTACTTGCCATGTTGGGGGTGGGAAGCTGCCAGCACCAGGGCTAAGGCGTTTGCCCGAGGCTATGGCCGCCACACCTGGCCTGTCCCTGGAAGCCCACCGCGCCGTGACTGCGGTCACATTCATTCGTATTGGGACAGGTCTGCTAGGCATGGCTGGTACGGCCTGTCCCATGCAGGGCACGCCTGTACCGCTCACTCATATTGGTATTATTGGGCGCGAGGTCTGTTCGGAATGGCTTCTTGCCGTGTTGGGGGTGAGCGTGGACCGTCCTGGTGGTGGAACAGGCGCATCTGGTCCAGATAGGGGGCCGGATTCATGCATCAGAGTTCCCAAGGCGATCGAACAGCAATAACTCCAATCGAAGGGCAGTAGGCCTCCACTGCCCTCCAGGGTGCACATTCTGCCCCATTAGCCCTTCACTCACCATAGGTACTCATTCAGCCATTAGAGTGGCACCACCCATATAGCAGCAGGGAAGACAAAAATGCATACTTTTGCTGCGAGAATGTTTTTGGCATGCACTTTGTTAAAATCTGCCAGCCGGGCCGCTCGGGTCCCGGGTGTCCAGCCCGTGCAAGGACCAGGGAAGGTCCCAAAAAAAAAAAAAAAAAAAAAACCCGAAAAACAACTATGTTATGCAGAAAAATAAACTGAACAACGTTTGCCTCAGGGTCACATCGAAATTCTTCACCAAATTTAGTTGGTTTTTTTTTGTTTTTTTTTTGGCCCGGCCGGGCAAGTGACCCCGGGCCACTCTGGTAGCCTTTCATAATAATAATAATAATAATAATAATAATAATAATAATAATAATATTTTTTCTAATTTCTTCTCGGAAGGATCTGCAGTCAATCTATGTCCCTGATGGTCTTCAAAATTTCTTATCAAAAATTATGAGCACAAAAATTCAATGCACTCGAAAGCTTGTGAAAAACCTCCGCTTCTGGCGGGGCACAATAATTCCCTCAATTTATAATCTTAACAATTACAAATCAATGATCTCTTGTCGTAAAAAAAGGGCACAAAGGCGTCCAGATTCGGGCGTTGAGGATACTCAATCCTGCTTTGTGGGACTTGGGCCCCGGACTGGCGTTGAGGAATTTTTATTTTACTTTTATCTTCGCGTTGAGAAAATTGAATCCTGGATGTGTGTCGTGCGTGGGAAAAAAAAAAAAAAAAATTCCCTTTTTTTGACGTTTCCTCCATGATAAATGGGAGACATTACTGTACAGAGTTTCTCCCGTCTCCTATCTCCCCGTTCATGGTCTTGGGTGAGGTCCCACTAGCCAAAAGGATTTGAGTTAGAGCCTGAATCTGGACTTATTTGTAAAGAGTTGCCGATTATCGCGACAGCTCTGCTTTTCTGCATTCCTGCTTAAAACCCATCCAGATCCAGGCGCTAAATCCATAAATCCAATCCCCTGCGCTAGTGGGACATTGTCCCTGCATCAGGAACCTAGGTTCCAAAAACGGGGGTCTGCTAATGGGGGATCCTCCAATCACCTCCATGAGCAAGATCCACGACAGGGCGATGTTTTCAAAAAAATAATAAAAATAAAAAATAAAAATAAAAAAAGTAATCTAGGTTCTCAAGTTCCCTTTCTCCTCTATAGCATAACAACTTCAAGTTGATGAAGATGCTTGGAGGGTAAGGCTCGATGCACCTGGCTTCTACCTTTCTTACCTTTTGATATTCATAAATAAAAAAAAATAAAAAAAATAAAAAAAGATCTTCATACGTGACCATTCAGTTCTCACTGAAGTAGGATAGTGGGGCAAGCGGGTGCGCTGGGAGCATTGATGAGAGGATGGGTTGGGAGGTAGCCCCACAAAGATGATAATTGTCAGGATAATCACTGGGTGACTGATGTCTGGAATTCAGCCCCTACAACAACCTGGGCTTTTCCATTTAAAAAAAAAAAAAAGGAAAAAAAGAAGGAAAGAAGCCCGGACCGGGCTGCCCCGTAAGCAGGATCCCGCTCCAGGCTCCATAAAAGCATATACACGAGATGAACTGATTACAGTCCGAGAGAGATATCTTATTCCAACTGGTTTAATTGGGTTATTCAACTTATTCTTGACAGAACAGTAAAAAGAGAGGGCGCGCATGAGGACTTCGCATTTGTCGAAATGCGCAGAAGTACACGAAGACACCAACTAGTCTAGCTCAGTTGGCACACCCCTGAGCGGCTGAGCCCCACCTACACTGCCAGC